AGCGAAATACAAGAGAGAAAGGATCAGGGCAAGCAACAGCAGATATAGAAGAAAAACGTGTTTCCATGGAGCAAATGAAAAGTATGACCAAGCTACTGTGATTATAAATAACCTATGTGATATGATCACATCTATAGAAAAGAATTGAAAAGAGAAATACAAGAAGTTGCGGAAGTTATGCTGAGGCAACAAAAGGAGATAAAATATAAGCTGGCAGAGCTTAAGAAAGAAATCAAACAATAGCCACCAAAAAGGAAAGAGAACCCTGAGCATGTTAAATAATCAAGCATAGGGCAACACTTTTTTTATTTTTATTTTGCTCAGGAAGTTAGAGTAGAGTAGAAGGGAAAGATGATGACCCTCCTTTGTCTTTTCTATTGTCCACATCCTAATTCTTCTGGAGGAAGAGAGATAAATCAATAAAACTGAAATGAAATACATTAAAATAAAAATCATGAAAACTTTTGAGAAATTAAAAACTGAATCAATTGGATCAAAGAGCCTTATTATTCCAGAGGAAAAAACTGATACAGTATGACCAACCACAAAACATATACTAATAAAGTAACTGGTATTCAAATATATACATATTAAAAGGACTTTAGGTATCAAGGCAAAAAAAAAAAAAAAAGAGAGAGAGAAGACACGCAACATGGAAAAATATCAGACTAGCTTAACACAGTACCACTCAAGAAGTTAATGGAGGGCCTCCCTGGTGGTGCAAGGGGTTAGGATGGATGTAGCCTGTGAAGCTGTCTGCAGTCTCTGCAGCACAAGTTCTATTCCCGGCCGGCTGGGGAGCAACACACATGGGGCAGCAGACCTCTCCTGACTCGCCCTCTGCTCCCTTCAGCAGTGTACTTCCATTGATCTGCCTGTTCTGTTCCCTGCTCTGTCTCTGGTGAATCCTCTCACCCCTTCACACCTCTGGCATGTACCCCAGCTCATGAAAGCATAAATAAATAAATCCTTAAAAAAAAGAAGTTAATGGAGCAAATTTCTTATGGAAAGCAAAGAATGCATGCATTTTATACCCTAAAAATTATATTAAAGCATAAAAGGGGCAGATGAACATATTTTCAACATTCAAGAATTCACCTTTTTTGAATATAATACTAAAGAACAAACTTCAGAGAGCAAAATATAAATGGAAACGCCAGAGTAAGAGGATTGGTGAGGACCACTGAATAACTTTACCTGTAAACTAAGATCACAGTTAATGCAGGAATGACAGTTCAAAGCAAAATATAGATGTTCAAAATGATTTAATTAGAAACAGGTTAGACAGAGCAGAGAGTGAGAGGTCATAAACATAAGCTATTTTTTTCCACCTTTCCTCAGCAGTGCTTCATAAAATATTTAAGTCTAAACGGTATTTTATTTCAAGATAGAAAAGCAAACACTAGAAGATAATGTAATCTACCAAAATTGGTTGGTGAGGGATTAAAGCAAGAGGGGGAGAAAATAGAAATACATGGAAATATACTAATTTTATAATTGCTCACAAGAGAAAATCAATAGATATTATCCAAAAATAGAAGATATGTTGTGTTATGCAAAATTGTAGTCATAAAGCTAAGTAGTTGGAACAAATATTCAAAATTATCAAAGAAACACACAGGCAGCAAAGGAGGGAAAACAGACAATATAATGAGAATTTTAAAAAATGTTAACTAACAACTTAAAATACACTGTCAGAACTAAGACAAATCTGTTACCTTAATCCATACAAATGGGCAAACCCAGCTATGAGGACTCTGAGTCAGTACTGATGGCCAAGGACTGCTGTTCAAAACCAGTGTAAGTGTAGTTGTTTACTTGCAACCCACTAAATTCTTTTATTGCATTATAATATAAGCCAACTGGTAGTTGCAAATAATAGCAAATATTTGTTTTTATTTAGTGATTAATGAAATTCACTGTTTTGCTCAAGAGGACTGGCCTTCGGCATTATTTAGGGGCAGTGTTATTTTATTGCTTCTGGCCTCTTTCATAGTAAAAAGATTAATTCCTTAAAACTGCCTTCAAGACCCTGTGGGACCAAGTATACTCTATACCTTCCTGATGTTCTCTAAACTCACCTTCTAGATCACCTCTGCTGCATCCTTCTCATCTCCCTGAACTCTAAATACTAGAATGTCCTATGTCCCAGTCTTTGGATTGCTTCTCTTCTCTATATGTACTTCCTCCCTTGGTGACTTCAATGCTGTGACTCAAAAATACCCGCGATATACTGATATGTTCCTACTTATATCCTCAGTCCTGAACTCCCCAGTAGCCCAAACTACACCCAAACTCGAATCTCTACCTGCCCATCGCACCTCTCAGTGGGGGGCCCAACACACCAGTCTCTATGTTCCCCTCTAACTTCTGCCACCCTTGCCTTAGTTCAACACTCAACAAGGTCTTCCTAAATAACAATACCTACAGATGTCTAACACTCACAGGCCTTGCTTATTTTTTGGCATAGTATTGTCATTATCTGATTTATTATGTAGATCTATAAATAGGAAAGACATCAACATTTATATAACATCGCTTTGGTGTTCTACAGATACAATTAACAAATGTAATTCTCCCAGCACTTTATAAAGTGGGTGTAAACAGCCTTATTTTGTAGGTGAGTCCAATGAGGTTGAACTCAAGGTCACAGTTAAATGTGGCAAGCCAAGGATGTCAAAAATGCTGATCTCCCTTGAGTTCTAAACTACAGGTTCTTGACCATCATCCTTCACAATCTTTCCTATCTACTTACATATGGACATAAATATCACAGAGACTTTTTTTCTGTTTCCCACTAGGATGAAAAAAACAAAAGCAGGAATTTTCTTGTGTTTGTCATCCTAACCACAGCACTTAAAACTAGGAGTCTACAAGTAGGGGGTCTAGAAAGGAGTCACCCATCAATAAAACTTTATTGAACAATGGGAACTTATATCTCTTTCAAACAAAAAAAAAAAATGAAGCCAGCTGAAGAAAAAACCTGTGATGACTTCCAGTATAATGTTAAAAACAAACATTTCAGAATAGTCACAGGAAAAAAAATCTGGATATTTGCCTGAAGCATTACAGAAAACTTTGGGTGATACAAAGGAAAAATGAAACCAAAAAATCTGAATATTTTAAGTTCTAAGTTATGCTTCCTGGAAACAAATCTGCCACATTCATCATCACATGCAGCATCGGCATTATGGAAAGGGCGATCAGAATAGTAAATTCATAAATCATTCCATGCTCTACATTAAAAAAAAAATTAAACAGAAGAAAGCAATGATAAAGTCTTAAATCTGGGACCATAACAATGGAGATGAATTGTTGAGAAAACATTAAGCATGCTGTTAGAAGGGGTTGTGTATTTAGTCTGTGCAACACAGATTGACTTCCAGGCATCTACCTTGAGTGACCCGGTAAAGAGTAGTGCCAACAGGTGTCAAGTTCCAGGGGACTTACAGATGTTACTTCAGCTATGGAACATCCAAATTGGGATGTTAAGATGGCTGCTAGCTACTTGGGCCATCAGAATGCAGTGGAGGTCACAATCCACTGACAAGAGTGAGCAGGACATGGCAATGTGATTCAAACCATGGGAACTTACAAGTGCAAAGAGGGCAGAAGGTGAGGACTCTAAGAATAATGCCTGACACAGTCTATTCTATCTTGTCTATGTTCAAATAATGCTGTGAAAAAAGGAATGAGAGTGGCCATGACTGATCAAGATTTAGGGGACATTCCCATGGTTCTGACTTAGAATCAAGCTGAGAAGCAATTTTTTAAGGATTTTTTTAAGCCAGAAAGCCCTCTCTTGACAAACTGGTTTCTGAGTGGCTGGCTATTTTTCCTATAAATGATTAGACCTCAAAAATCCACACAACCCATTTGCAAAAAGGAGTAAATCCTACATGCATAAGTTTATCCATACATGAAGTAGTCACTGAGAACCTCTGATCTGCAAAGGCATCTTCCTCAGAGCAAGGCTGATATTGTTGCTAACCTGAGAGAATGTGGAGTGCAATGTGGAAAGGAGACACATCCACAAAGATTTAAGGGATAATCCCTCACATGCTGGAGGAATGGTGGACAGTAGGAGCTACCAGCATTCAGAAAGACATCAACATTTATTTAACATACTCATCTTAGAAGTTCATAGAAGGTGTCATAGAGGAGATGGGTTTGATCTGGACTAAAAGATTAAGAGGGAAGCAGAGAAAGTCATTCAGGTCTTAGATCTGCACGAACATAGGAGATTCCAAATTTTACGGTTTCTTTAGGAAAAAAGTATGCAAAACAACTGATAGTTGAAGAGTGGAGAAGCTGAGGAGGGAGGTCAAGGCTGTTAACAATGGTAAGTTGATTACACACACACACACACAGAGTTACTCAGTGGAGCACCCTCTTCAGATTTTCCCAACTTCTATTTTTTTCACCTCCTTCCAGTGACACTGACACCTAAAACAAGGCTTATTTTGTTTCCCTGAAAGTGTCAGCTCCACGTAGTTTTCCCCAAAAGTGAGGATTCTTGAAATGAAGGACTCTGGACTCAGATACATGAGGAGGTAATCAACACTGTAAACTTTCCCAGAAAAGATCCCAGAGATGCTTAATTATGGAATTCTCACTCACAAGTTAGACAGGTCACTTTGGACAGAAGTGGAATGCAGCTTTGATAAAAGACTTGAAAGTCAAATTCCATTAGAGTTTTTGATTCTAAGTGACCTCAATCTTCAGCCCAAGTCTTAGTCATCTCCAGGCCAAGACTTTAGTATAAGAAAACAATCCAACTGAAGGACTCAGTAGGTCCATGAAGTCATCTGGGAATGATACTGACCCTTAACATCTTCCCCTTTCATCACGAGTCTGGGATCTTATCTGGGATCAGCTCCCCAAAGCAAAGGGGGGAGGGCACCCGGATCCACATCTTCACAACTGTGGGGGAACCATCCTCAGATTCCCAGTGAGCAGCTGACTTCTCCTTGACCACCAACCCCATTTTCTTCACTCACCTGAATGAAGATATATTCATCCTGGACCACCAGGGAACTGATGTCAATGGAGCGGGCAAAAGGCCCACTCCGAGTTGTCTCGGCGCATTCCTGGATCCTGCAGGTGAGGTAGTGGGCATCTGAAATGAGAGGGCAGAGTGACGCTGAGACCAAAGGGGGAAATACAAGCAACATTCTCAACACCCAAAGCTCTACCTTATGGGGAATTGATGCAATTTAAAACAATAATGATATTTCCTTTTCTTGTAAATAATTTGTAATAATTTTTAAAAAGTGGTGACACCTAGTTCATGCAAGGGAGCAGGAAAAGAGTTACTCTTACATCCAACTGGCAAAAGAGTAAATAGGTATAACTTTTTGGAAGAGCACATTTTAAATATCTATCAGAATTCTAAATGTGCATATCTTACACCAAGTGACTTTAATTCAAGCCATTTTTTTTCTAGAGAAATGCTCATACATTTTCAGAAGAGAGAGGGACAAAATTTTACATTGTGGCATTATTTGTAACAGTGAAGAACTGGAAGCAGGCTGAATATTCCCAAATTAAGGAACATTTAAAAACACTAAGGTACATATATATTAGAGAGAACTGGACTGCAATTAAAACAAATTAGGTAGATGCATATGTATTAACACACTGATTTCTCTAAGACACACGGCTCGGTGATCTTTTAAAAATATTTAGAATATATATAATGCAATACAATTTATGTCAGACAAATCCTTTTGAACAAGTATGTTTATTTAATATATATGTTTAAAAAGGATACACACAAACATCTATATATACATGCATATATAAAGAAAGAGAGAGCATGAGAGGGAAGTTTGTGCCATACTAGAAAGAAAAAAAATCAATGAATACATAAAAAATTTAGCTATGATTACTTTTGGGGAAGAATTAATTTAAAGAGATAGAGTTGAAATAGGGTGTTTTTAATATTTTATATCTTTATTATTTTTATACTAAGAATGCATTTACTTAGTACTTAGATAAACTTTACAAACTCACACAATTACTTATAAATCTAAACATTGCAACAATTTAACACCCCCCTTGAAACCCTCAAAAATATGGTAGCAGCTGAGCTGAATAGGAAATCCTTAACTGTGCAAGCCATTTTGATCAAGATCACAGGATCATCTAAGGAAGGTCATCCATTCAGTTACAGTTTTTTAAGGGAAAACTAAAGTAAGAATGTGTAAAGAAACCATTGTGCAAATTTGCTTTAAAAATGACTATTATTGGGCATCCCCTGGTGGTGCAGGTGGTTGAGCGCAGTGCTGTGAAGCTGTCCACAGCCTCTGCAGCATGGGTTCAATCCTGGCCTGCCGGCGAGAGTCACACATGGCACAGCAGACCTCTCCTGTCTCACCCGCTGCTCCCCTCAGCAGTGTATTTCAGTCAGTCTGCCTGTTCTGTTCCCTGCTCTGTCTCTGGTGAATCCTCTCACCCTCCCCCACATCTGGCCTGTACCCCGGTTCTTATATGCATGAAAAAATAAATATTTAAAAAAATGACTATTATTCATTTAATGGTGTTTAAGAATAATGTAAATAATGTATGGTCAAAATGAAAAGTGGGTAGGAATCATGTTAGGATTAAAAGCAGAGAAGTCTTGGTCACTATCTAAAGCTACATGCATTACTCTCTGTATTTAACACTGTCCCCAGGATGTGGGCACAGGTGTCAGAGGTGACAATCAACAGAATGGACAGCAGCAAAGTCAAAAGGTTTAAATAAGCAAAAATGTCTAACTATTGAGTTTAAGGCAAGGGTACTTTATTTTTATTTTTTAAGGGTACTTTAAATTATCCCTAACTGTCTATCTTAATGAACTGATTTACTAATTGATTCAATAAGCATCTCTTGTGCATATACACTACCTCAGGTATTGTTGAGGTACTAACCATGCCTAGCAGGTAATGAGATAGATTTTTTATTCTAAAAGGACCTGGAACGGGCTTTCCCATATGACTTGTAATCAGCGATCACCTGTAATTACATCTAAACATGATGCTAATTTAATAAAGAGGCATATTTTTGATAGAAAACATATTCATTACGAGCCATATCCCTAATTCTCAAATGTCGATATCTAAGCAAAGTCAATTTACTTTGGTATCTGCAATCCAAACATGCCAAACATCAATTTCATTCTGGTCATCAGGAGTCTTATTATCTGCCCTGTAGATCAAGCCTCTTAACTTTCCTTTCTTCTGCACACCACACACCCCGGCTGGTCCCCAAGCTTGATGTTTCTGCATTTCAAGTGCCTCCAGAGTGTGTCATCTCAGCCACTCGCTGGGACAGGTCTTTCTCATCTGGGCTGTCTGTTGCATCCATTTCACAAATTAGCATTTAGGTGCATGATGTATTGAAAACTGAGTAAACTTAAGGAGACAGAATTGTTTCTAAAATCCAAACCTGACCAGATCCATTCCTTGTGTCAGGGACCTGGCGCAGTAGGGACCACAGAAAAGTGGCCCACACTTGCCTCTGCGAGGGGCAGCTTTTTCTTAGAGACAGTTCATCACTGACATGCAGGAATAAGATGTTCTGAGCTTCTAAATGAAGCAAAATTGTCCCTATTAAAAATATGACAGCTAATTTAAATAGAAAATATGGTGCAGGTGAAACAAAACAAGTCTATAGTGACAATGAGCTCAGAATCACGCCCATTCCATCTTTTGTATCATTCCCCCGGCCCCTTCTCTCCAGACCCTCTTACCTCCATCCCTGACCCATGAGCAAGAACAGCTGGTTCCCATTCTTTAAGGACAGCCTGCCTGGCCTTTCCTCTTTGTCTCTGTTTACAGGAAAGCCAGGGGGCCCATGCTGTGCCTTGGAGCACACTGCCTGCCCGCTGGGAATATTCTTGGACCCAGTCTTTGTAATTTGCTCTCATGTAAAGGAGCCACAAGTGTTGACATGACAACTGGCTTCCTTTTTGGCAGCAAATGTGTTACAAAACCCCTTACACTGGTAATCAAAGGTGCGCACAGGGTAAATCTGCTTTTTCCCCACACACAAGTTCGATTTCCGCTATTTACTGTTTCATTCTCTTATTTGGAGACCTTGGAAAAAGAATCGAGTGCATTCAAGGTCACCACAAACAAAATCAAAACCAGCTTGGCCTGGGGCAGGTGAGGTACTGTGCCAAACTCATCCTCTTTTTTGGCTCTTGCCCTGCTTGATCTGCCCAGCATGGGAAAATAAAGGTCTAATTTAACAGGAGAATCAGCACTAAAATTTAGGAGACTTGGAGTTTTTAATTGGGCCCATATATTAGGTGTTTCAACACTTTTACTTTTTCAAAACACAGAGGCAAGCTAATAAGTGCTATGATCCCCCCCACGACCTGATGAGGACCCAAATGGGGGGCATCGGGTAGAGATGGCCACCAGGTGGAAGTGACAGAGAGGGGGCTGCAAGGGTCAAAGGTGAGCAGGGAACACCATTCAACTCAAATCTCACATTTGCAAAAATTCTCAAATTTGGACTTTGGTCATTATCTCTAGATGAGACTGGATATAGTCAAAGAAATTCGATAACAAAACTGGAAGAAGATATTCATCATTTAACTTGAGATCCCAAAATGGGCTGATAACAACTGTGATCTTTTGGTTCTGTTCATGACACCAGATATCTGATCAAATGGATGAGATGCAGATCTCTCGAGCTCCTCGAGGTATTTGAGGACAAGGTCTCTGAAGGAGGAGAGCATGGAGCAGGGTCTGGACTTGTGACCAGCTGACCGTCCTAAGCACGATGGCAGCACAGCTTCTCAACTGCGGAGTGCAGAAAAGTTAGTGTGTGCCTTGCCAGGATTAAAAAGATTATGTATGAAAAATACTTAGATACATTGGAATATTGTTAGACACATTTTAAAAGGTTGATAAATGGTAGCATTTTTATTATGAAGAGAGAAGAGAATCTAACACCCAGCATCCCTCATGTATTCAATCAATAATAGGCAATACTCTTTTATTGTGGAGAATCAAAAGATCATGATATCACAGGTCCTCCTAATAAAGCCACATTCTAAATATATGTCACCGTTTACTTTCTTTGTCTAAAAATAAGAATTGAGCACTGAGACAAGGAATAACAAATGTGTCTGGGCTGGAATAATCACAGAGAACTTGAAGGAGGAGGCAGTGATTGCTCAGTCTGGATGGAGAATTGTGCTGTGTGAGAAGGAAATTCCTGACAAAGAAAGTGAAAAGTACCATGGACTTTTAGGTAGCTAAAGCTCTTGGAAGGCATTATTTATACAATTACATGTAAAAGAATTGACTTTGATTAATATTTATTCTTAATCTTCCACTTTGTTTTTTTATCCTCTCCTTTGAAACACCCTCAGGTGAAAAACTAGAGTGAAGGACTGAACAACATCCTCATTTGGATACCTGGGTGGTGGGGGTATGAGGGGACGGGAATCAGAATGATTTCCCAAATGGTTGAGCCACCTCATCCTATTGATAAATGTCACCTGTGTTTCTAATGTATTTCCAGGAACTGGGCAGTCTTTCTCCACGACAAGGACTAAAAGTCAAAGGCTCTGCTCCCTGTTGTGAAGAGTCAGCTCAGTCAGTGTGGAAGTATCTGGCCCTATTCCAACTGGCTCTACTGACAGCTGGACCTTCAGGGAAGGTGCCATGACCTCTCATGTAACCCAAACCCCCTTTTCAAAGGGAGCAAGGTTCATAGGTTGGAGCAAGGGTCTCATACGGAAAGAAGGGTGTGCTCAGGCCAAGTGCTTCACTCCTTTTGTGTTGGAGCAAGGTGTGCAGAGAAGCACCAAGGGCCAGGCACTTACTGTGGCTCTAGGAAGCAGATATATTCCAGAAGAATCCCAGAGCCAAGGAACAGAGAGGAGGCATTCCCTGGTGGGAGTGCCCTGGGGTCTGTGCCAGTGGAGAATGCTTCCCAGAACTGGGAGCAGGCAAAGAAAGAAGTTAGGAGACAACCTGCCATCCTCAGTCTTTTCTTTCATAGGGGCTGCATTTCAGCCAGGAGTGGTATAGGCCTTTGGAGGCAGCTACTATCTTTCTCCACTGAGCAAGGCAAGTTTCTCATCTCTCTCTGTCAAGTGCACCATAAGGCCAGCATTTGTCAGTCTGATGAACCTTTCTAAAAGGGTCACCTCCTTATAAGTGGGAATAAAGTCTTAGTCGGTCGTGTTTCTCTCCTAGGGCTGACTTTATGAAGACTCGGTCAATGCTACTTAAAATTAATTGAATTACTTGAAAAGCCTACTCATGTTTGTTATCTTGAACTGTATCGTGATTTGGGATTATGATTTGCCTTTGTGATTACTAAATATTCAAATCATCCCAGATGTCATTCCTCTGCCACTTCAGAGAAAAAACTTTCCATGTTCATTCAATTTCCATTCCTTTGGGTAACATACATATTGTCAAAAATTGAAAAAATGAATTAAAATTGTGAACAAAAAGCAAATTCAGCTCTTTGGGTCATCTCTTAGAGAAATACCCAGGAGCTATTTATTTTAAATCACATCATCAACTCTCAGATGCAAGCAAGTAATTACAAGTTTCCAGGAAATTCTGAAAAGTGATTTAACTTCCATAAGCTTCCTTTTCCTTGACTGGATAGTGGGGTTAACCTGGTTGGAGTTGTAGCAAAAAAAAAGGGATATTGACATTTTTATACATAATTAATTCAGCACTGGAGAGGGAGGGAAGGAAGGAGGGAGGGAGGGAGAAGGAAGATAATAAGGCACCCAGCAAAATACCAGACATGGTAACAAATGCTGATTGTCATCTGACTCTTTAAAAGTTTTTTAAAAAGCAAATAAAATACATTCCCGCAAAGGCATGTTTTTGGCATGTATCTAAATTTGTTATCAAACGTAGATTTCTCATGGACAAAGTGCAAGCAGATTTAGTTACTCTATTCCATGCACACAGCTGGGTCAAAACAGAATCTCCTTACCTCTGTACAACATTTTATAATTTCTACAACATGCTTCTCCATTTTATAGAACCATAAGCCTAAGGTGGCAGGGAAAGGATGAGTAGCAGAGGAACTCTGTGCACACAGAGGCTAGAGGGGGAGCCCCTGACCCCAGGGACGATGGGAGGGGGCTTAGAACCCAGGACCCTAATTCAGTTGGGTTCTTCTGTTACATGTCTAACTCACCACTATGTCCAGAGATTATTTGCCTCTATTTTTTTAAGATTTATTTATTTATTTATGCATACAAGAACTGGCATACAGGACAGAGATGTGTGGGGATGAGAGGATTCACCAGAGACAGAGCGGGGAGCAGAACAGGCAGACTGATGCGGTACACTGCTGAGGGGAGCAGCGGGCAAGACAGGAAAGGTCTGCCGCACCATGTGGGTCATCTCCCTGGCTAGCCGAGGAATCAAACTCATGCTGCAATGGTGGTGCACAGCTTTATAGGTTGAATCTTAACCCCTTGCACCACCAGGGAGGCCCCATTTGGCTCTATATTTGATGTAGGATATCCTAATTCTTCTTTCATAGAGATCATAAAATTTCCATATACATCATATATTTCACAATTTCATGTGTTTTTGCTTAAATTTCTTTTAATTTACTTGGAAAAAGGATGACTTCTAAAAATATGATCAACTTTGGATAGAGTAAAATGTTTAAATTAATGCAAAGTGATACTTCATCAAATTCTATGTAAGATGCTCATAAGTACACAATGGGCAAGGAGGTTCATGTTGGAAATCCTGGGGTTTAGGGTTTGGATCAGGATTGGGAGAGTTTGTCTGCAGGGACCTCGCAGGTATTTCTTCCCTCTGTATCTCCAGGGCCAAGAGCAACACCTGGCACATAGTAGGCCATCCAGTTTTTATGGAATGAATGAACCGTTTTGCAAATAACTGCACAGTTACTTTTTTGGGTGAACTTGACTATATAAAGTGTTCATTTTTTCAAAGCTGGCAACCCCTGCGATTCACCACATGAATACAAAATACCACGATGAGCTATGGACATTCCTTTTCAAATTACACAGAATATGACAGGAAATTACTAACAGGAGCCTCAAAATTCATCACACTAACTCACATCCCCAGAAAATTCATTCCTGAGGGTTTATTTCAATGAAATGTCTGCCTGGGGACCAGAGGCCTCTCCCCAACTCTGGGAAATAAGGATGGATATGGCAGTAATGGAGCTCTGGGCTTTTCATCTTCCCAAGCCATTAAAATGCAAATTGGGGGAAGAGAGAGACTTGCAGGCAGATCTCCCTGGGCCTAGCTGTGGGCACCAGCACTCACATCCATCTGCAGTCCGCACCTCCATGTGCACCAGGTCAGCCTCCTTATCTAGTCCGGCCACCGACCTGGAGAAGGGAGAAAGAGAGAGAAGCTGAGTGAACACAGTGAGAGTTGAAAAAAAAAGAGTCACTTTTGACTATTACCCTGAATGCAACTTACTCAGGAGGACCTGACCTATGCTGTGGGGACCCACAGAATTTAGTAGATGAGGGATGGCAGTTTGGCTGCCTCTAGAGCTGTCACACATCATGGTCACATGCATGAGTCCCCGAGTGCTGGTGAGTCAGTAACTCTTAAAAGAGCAAAGGCACATAGAGCGGACAGTAACGCTGGTGTGCATTCCCCCCCACACACACACACAGCCCCTTCTCCACAACTTGCACTTTCTAAGAAATTCTCTCTTCCTTCCTACTTCTGCTCTGCACACACCCATACACCACTACTTCCTCCCCTGGAGTGTGCTATTCCTTGTGGTTTCTGTCCTGGGGGAAGGTGGTGTGGCTTCAGCTCTGATCCTTCAACCTTCCTTCTATATTTTGGAACAATAAATGTTCCAAAAATTTTGACTGACATTCAAAATTTGGTCTGATTTGAAAAATCTCGCTTGGTGGTCAGTGTTGAAGAGCTTATAGGTCCAATACTCAGATCCAGGAGGATGGAGAATCTCGTGGGGTGCTGACCTTGCACACATGAGCAGTCATCGCCCTCCATGTGTGGTGTTCAGGGCAGAGCGAGGCCAGGATGGCAGCTCAAGGTGGCCACACTGACAAAAACATTCACACAGTGAAGAGATCTCATGATCCATGCACTCTGGCAAGCTGTTATCCTAGCAATTTGTACTTATTTTAAATATCATGTTAAGATTGGTTTTCTGGTTTTCCAGTCAATGGGTAAGAAATAGCTGGTTAGAATGAAAAAGTTGTATTTAAGATGGTGAAAATCAACAGCCAATACCCAGATAGTAAGTGATATATAAAACCTATGAAAAACAGACCTAAGAACTCAAAACCCAATCTTTTGCCCCATAAATCTCTTCACTTCTCAACAGCCCTGGGGCTGAGGGGCTAAAGACAGAGTGAATGAATCCAGCAGGCTAGTGGTCTCAGTGCATTCTGTTTAAGAAAATAGGGTTGTAAATGACACGTTAGGAAAAATAAGTTTTATTTGCTAAGATTGTACTTTGGTTAAGATTTGGTTATGTGACAAAACATCATATATATACTTTTTCACACCCAAAGATGGTGAAAAATGAGGCTTAATTCTCACAGCTATTTTTTTCTCAACAATCACTGATTAATCTTTTAACTTTTCCTCACATCATTTGTTCCTAAGGGCATATCCTTAAAGTAAGGACAGTAGGACACCATTAGTTATATGTGACTGAATGGGGGACTGAGGCACAGAGAAATGGATATTTATCAGGCCACAGGGATGAGGCTAGAACTAGAGGGACATATTAAATTCTCAGCTAAGAGAATCTCTGGTTCTTCTTGGCTCTTCTCCCTTTTTCCTACAATGTACTTCATATTCAATTATTACACAGCCCTTTTCCTCTCTAGCGAAGATCTCTTCTGTCCAGCAACTCTTTCATCCCTCATCACACTGAAGAACATTTTATCTGGTCCCATAGCATTCTAACCTTGGCTATTCATGAGATTTATTGCACACCTATGAAATGCTGCATACCTGGCCCCTTCCCAGACCAATGGTATCAAAACCTTTGGGGACTGGTTCAAGGCATCAATATATTTTTGAAGCTCCAAGGTGATGTCCATGCACAATCAAGTTTGAAGAGTCACTGTTTTATATGAGTCAATTAAGTCATTTAAATAATTGTACTTCTGTGTCATCATAATGGCTATAAATATTATAGAAGTAAAAGTCTGTCACTTTACCTTTGAATTCTTGCCACCTCTGTGCTTAGTATATATTAGGGGCTAGTGTTGAATTTATTGAATTAATAGATGATTTAATTAATAAACAACCAATATCACTTGAGAATGCCAAAATTTTAATATGAAACTCACTTGAGGTCTGACACACAGAGGCTAAGTGCACAGAAGGCTGAGACACACAGGGACTCTACTGACAGTCATGCCTACAGTCTCATGTTTCATCATAAGCAAGTTGTTGTTCTCAGAATTAGAGGCTTCTCAAGTATCACTCTTCTCTCTTCTTATATCTTATTCCTCTTTTGATCACTATCCTCATCTCATCCTCTCCTTATCTCCATTAGATTGTCTCAATGTCATTTATGTCTCTCTTCAATCCACATCATTTCTTTAGATATAATTCTATCAGGATGGAAACATTTTTCCCCAACAGTCTGAATTGTGATCAGAGGAAAGACAGTACAAGATAGGAAGACAATACAGGCTGGTCAATGAGGTTTATCTCCAACATGAGACCACTCTGCCAATATTGGGAGAAGGAGTTGTTTTAGCTAATTTGCAGAAACCAACACAGAGAACCAAAGAAAATGAAAAGATAAAAACCCCGTGGAATATCTTCCAAACAAATGAATAAAGTGATCTCCAAAAACATACCTTAATGAAACAGAGATAAGTGATTTATCTGATAAAGAGCTAAAAAAAAAAAAATACAGGTCTAAAAGATGTTCCTGAGATTAGGAAAGGAATAAATGAAAAGAGTGAGAAGTTCAACAAAAGGACAAAACATATTAAAAGTGCCCAACAAAAATTACAGATCTGAAGAATACAATAACTGAACTGAAAAATTCAATAGAGGGGTTTCAACAACAGACTAGATCAAGTGGAAGAAAGGATCAGTGAATACTAAGAGAGGGCAATGGAATTCATCCAATCAGAAGAAATATAATTTTAAAAGGTGAAAATGGCTTATGAGACATGGGGGACACCATCAAATGGAACAATAGTCATAGCATAGAGGTCTCCAAAGGACGAGAGAGAAAGAGGCAGAAAGTTTATCCAATGAAATAATGACTGAAGACTTTTCTAACCTATAGACAGAAACAGATATCCAGATCAGGAAAGCCTACAGAGTAATAACATGAATGAAAAGAGACCTGCAAAGAGACACATCATAATTAAATTATCCAAAGTTAAAGACAAGAAAAGAGAAATTTAAAAACAGCAAGAGAAAAGCAACTTGTCACATACAAAGGAGTCTCTATAACATTATAAGCCGAATTTTTTTTTAGCAGAAATCTTATGTATCAGAAGGGAGTGGGATGATATAGTCAAAATATTGAAAGAAAAAACTGCCAAACAAGAATATTCTACCCAGCAAATTTGTCCTTCCCAATTAAGGGGAGATTTAGACTTTTCTAGACAAAGCAAATCTGAAAGAGATGATCATCACTCATAAGACTTATAAGAAATATTAGTAAGAGTTCTTCAAGCTGAAATGAAAATATGCCATTTAATAACAAGAAAACATATAAAAATATAAAAGTCACTGGTAAATTCAGAATACTATAATACCACATAGGTGGTCTGTAAGTCACTTAAAAATTTAGTATAAAGATTAAAAGACAGAAGATCTTAAAATTAACGATAACAATTTGTTACTAGGTGCACAAAATAAAAATATACAAATTGTGACATAACATGGGATGAATTGGTTTTTGTACATGTTAAAAATGAAGTTATTATCAGCTTAAAACAGATTGTTAGGAGTGATTTACATAAACTTCATCGTATAAGCAAAAGTCTATCATACGTACATAAAAGATAAAGGAATCTAAGCATTCCAGTCCAAAAAAAATCATCAAATCACAAAGAAAGAGAGCAATATACTCTGGAACTCATGCTGCAGTGGCTGCTGATAGCTTGATAGTGCTGAGACTTTAACCCCCATGCCACCAGGGAGGCCCTGCTATTGCGTTTTGGTCCTGGGCTGGCCAAAAGAAATGTGGGTGAGAGACACATGGGGAGGTTAATGATGGCAGCTTTGATTCTGATTTTGCTCTTTTCCTTCCAGACTTGTCTGGCCCCTTCTGCCCCTTTCTTATCGGTCCACACCAGAAGGTGCTTTCACTTGTGTCAGGCTTCTGGGCCCTGCTTTGGGCCAACCCTGTTTGACTGGACATTTACCCAGAAGGGGATGGGTAACTTTGGGTACTTGATTTGGAAATTTTATTCATTCCCTTTTCTGCACTGCATGCTATTTGTATTAAAGTTCCTTTCCATTGAAGGTCTTATGTACTAGAGTATGTTTTGTCTTGATGTGGCGGATGACAGACTCTTTAAAATGGGCAGTTTTGAGAGTGCTGGGGTGCCCCTCACCCTATCCTATAACACTGTGGCCCTAAAATACAATTTGAAACTTTAATTCAGTTTCTTGGTAACACATTTGGCTTCCGTGAGGAAGAGGTAGGGCTAGACTCCTGTGCATTTTTCTCTCCTTGTGGATGTGAATTCCAAAACAAACCTTCCCCAAAATAAGAAAACTCAGCATGAAGTGACTCTGAGGGAGGTATTGTGGGTAAAATATTGATACGGGTAAAGTACAAATCCTTTACAAACTGATTAGCTAGACACTTAAATCACAAAATAATCTTATCTCATCATGTTTTCAGCTTACATTTCAAACATTCTCCCTCTTTATGTTTTTGCTTAAGCTGTCCTTCTACCTGGAGTATTCCACTCTGTATATTCCCTGTTTAAGGCCCAATTCAAACCTTCCATGCAAGTGCCTGACCTTGGCTGAATAACAGAAACCCACTGGGGTGACTTTTTAAACATATTGAATACCAATGCACAGCTACTACCCCTGGAAATTCCAGTTTAATTGACCTGAAGCAACAGTCCTTTCTCATTTTAGTAGCATCAGAATCTTGTTAAAATAGATGCTGGGTTCTACCTCAGAGTTTCTGATTTGAGAGGTCTGGGGTGAGGTCCAAGTATTTGCATTTGTAGCAAATGTGTCGATGACTTGATGATGATGATGATTAGGGATCCTGTGCTGAGAACCGCTAGCCTAGAGTACACTCCAAGATTAAATGGCTTTCAGATGGCCCAGGGTGATAAAATATGCAGTCAAATTTGAGAATCACTCATAAGAGCTGGAGAAACAATCTCCA